AAAAATGTTTTTTTTTTGACTTTTTAAGTAAATTTTTGAGTTACTAACTTACTTTTTTTGTAAGATTTTGTTAAAATGCGAAATTATATAGAAATTGACGTTGTTTTGCATCATTTATAATTTTCTTTTAAAGTAATACTTTTGCAAAAATTGAGACAATACAAAAAAAAAATTTACTTTTCTGCTATTTTTAGAAATAGAAATTAAAAACAAAGGTGTCAAACAAAAAAGTTCCTACCAACAAATCAATAATGCATTTTTTTAATAAAAAAATGTTTTTTTTTTAATTTTTAAGTAAATTTTTGAGTTGAAAACTCACTTTTTTGTAAGATTTTGTTAAAATGCGTCAGAAATTACAAAATTAAGTGGAAATTGGCGTTGTTTTGCATCATTTATAATTTTTTTGAAAATTAAAAAAATACAAAAAAAAGTTTTCTTACTTTTTTTGTTATTTTTGAAAAAGAGAAATTAAAAACAAAACTGTCAAATAAAAAAAGTCTTACAAACAAATTAACAATGCATTTTTTAATAAAAAAAACACTAAGCTTGGGCAAATTTTTTTTTTGACTTTTTAAGTAAATTTTTCAGTTGAAAACTTACTTTTTTAGGAAGATTTTATTAAAATTACGAAGTTTGGTAGAGGTTGACGTTGTTTTGCATCATTTATTATTTTTTTGAAAAAACTCCGATTTTTGGAAAATTGAGAAAATGGAAAAAAGAGTTTTTTACTTTTTTGTTATTTTTAAGAAATACAAATTAAAAACAAAGCTGTCAAAAAATCCTACAAACAAATTAACAATGCATTTTTTTAATAAAAAAATCACCAAGCTTGGCCAAAAATGTTTTTTTTTTAACTTTTTAAGTAAATTTTTGAGTTGAAAACTCACTTTTTTAATAAGATTTTATTAAAATGCGTCAGAAATTACAAAATTAGGTAGAAATTGGCGTTGTTTTGCATCATTTATCATTTTTTTGAAAAAAAACTACGATTTTTGAAAAATTGAATAAATACAAAAAATGTTTTTTTACGTTTTTTGTTATTTTTAATAAAAAAATCATCAAGCTTGTCAAAAATGTGTAAATTGTTCAGTTAAAACTTCACTTTTTTAGAAAAATTTCATTAAAATGCGTAAATAAATTACAAAATTAGGTAGACATTGATGTTGTTTTAGACTGTTTTGCATGATTTATCGTCATGAAATGTTGTCAAAATAAGTCAAAAAATCACTAAACTAGACCAGAATTAATACTGTTTTAACTTTTTTTATCTAGTTTTTGTCAAAAAGTCACTAAATTAAGTTGAAAATGTGCTTTTTTCGACTGTTTAAGAACGTTTATGAACTAAAAACTCAGTTTTTTACAAAATTTCGACAACAAATAAACGAAAAATAATGTTATTTTTGTGATTTTCAAGCAATTTGTAGCAAAAATTTTTCAGTCAGGAACACGCTTTATTATTTCCAAGTTTCTACTCAAATACGCCAAAAATCCTCTTATTGTAGGTTTTATTTCTGCTTTTTTATGCCGATAAAAGTCAAGAAATTTGGTCGAAAATCGTTGTTTTGTAAAAAATGTTATTTTATTGACGCGATTTTGTTAAATCATCAAATTAGTGAATCTTGCTAATTTTTTTACTTTATTTTTAAGCAAAATTTTGTCCCAAAAGTTGCCATTTTGCAATTTTTAAACGTGAAAGAAAGTTTTCTCTCAGAAATGCATTGCTTTATTAAAAATTTTGGTCTAAGAAGTGAAAAAATTACAAATTGGTCAGAAATTACATTGTTTTTGCCTTTTTTCAAGCGTTTAAGCATGTTTTTGAGATAAAAATTTTCATGGATTTTAATAAAAGTAAAAAAAAAATGTTTTAGAAAAAACTCCGATTTATTTAGAAAATTGAGA